AAACCTTTATTATTAATAACCCTGGGGATATATATGTTTTTTTTACTTTACGTGTTCACAATACCGTAACGCAAAACATGTTGCGACTTATTGTTCCTAAGACTGTGTGTAGGCCCCCTCTCGTGGCCCAAGTGTAGTTCCCATTGCTTTATAACAACTTTAAATTATTATTTTTTTTATTTTACCAGCTAAGGCCCACTGAAGCGACCTGGCCACAAAACGATAGCCCAACGAAGTGGCTTATCGTGTGGAAATGTATAGCAACCAAATACTCTTGAATTTCATGTGGCGATTCTTAATGTGGAGGGGGAAACCCCCGGAGAAAACCCCAATCGACCACGGCGGGGAGAGACAGCGAGAACAAAGCAAACTCCAAATATACAACAGAGTAGGGAACTAACCCACGACCTCCTTGCATACCAGGCGACGGAGTTAACATTTCTCAACCACGGCTTTAATAGCATCGCAGAATTACATTGCGTCCCACCCCTCCCAACCTCACACCACGGGCAATTTCTGAAAATAAAATGGAGCAATTATATATGTGTCCTGTGTCGTGCTCGTCTCTTGGGGGGTGGGGGGCAATGCTCAGGACGTACAATTCTAATTAATGTACAGCTTAAGGGGTTTATGTATAGAGGCTTGGAACGAGCTAAGATATCGAGTTCGAGGGATATCAGAATCTGTATTTAGACTGGAGAAACCCGATGAGCTATGAAGCTCTTTTCCACAGATGTCCGGTATTTTCACAGATTTAACCGGTCCTGCCACCCCCTTGTTCAACAATTCGCAAATGACCAGCGTGGTGAAGTACGGTCAAACACCTCACATTAGATTTTAGATTTGAAGCTTGCGTGACTGCAAGGATTCATACTCTTTGGGGATTTTTTTCCGGTAAAAGTCACGTAGGTAAAAAAAAATCTACAAAATAAAATATAAATGAAAAAACAAATAAATTAAATTTTGAGTTGGGCATGCCAGGAAAAAAATGTCATCTCCATTTTATGTTTTTCCTAAGTGGTTCGTTCTTATTTGAACAAACTGGCTCCCATATTCTTGGTTCTTTCGGTAAAGTCACGTAGAAGGAAAACAATAAAATAATAAAAAAAATATAAAATTGTATTGTTTTATGTTATTGTTTTATATTTTTATTATTTTATTGTTTCCCTTCTACGTGACTTTACCGAAAGAACCAAGAATATGAATCCCTGCAGTCACGAAAGCTTTAAATCAAAACTTGCTCCCGTCAAAGAATGCGGAATCCTTCCCGCTGTTGGCTTCGGGCCACATTATTGTAGATCGTTATTGTGTGCGAGTTGTGCAAATCGCGTCAACAACCAGAGGTGATGCAATAAGCGAAGGGATAATTTAATCACCCCTATTTCTCCTCATGGTACGACCCAACACGTGCCGAGTCGCCTAAGGAAGCTCTTGCGTGGAAGAGACCAAAGTCAATTACAAGGGGTGTACGGGGAGGGGGGGTTGTAAACGGGGCTCGCGCTCATCACACGGAAGCGGGGGAAACCAGTTCGCGGAGTTGGAATCGCGCCCGGACTGATGACAATAATTTAAGCGAAATAACAAGACCTCTACAAGTAAACGCACGTATAGGTTCCGCTATAAGGTGGTCAATTGCACATCGAAGGATATTTAATTGCTGCTGACGTCACACCTCGTTATAATGGGCGATTCGCAGGTGAGATAATCCCTTAAAGCGATTTTAGTTTTGCATTCACTGATTCCAAGCGTCACCGTCACGACTATAAACAAATGGTATTTTTTTAAGTGAAGTACTGTGTTTGTGGGAATGTACAATAAGTTTGAACCCGTGATAGCCCTGGCAAGTTGCTGCTTGTTTGATGTTCCTAAGGTTTAATTTTTTTTTATTTTCCCGCCATCTCTCCCACGACGCCCCCCTCCCCTGACGTTATAAAACATTTCTTAAGGTGCTGCTCTATTTTGGTACCCTTGTGCGTTTAAATAATGGTCTTTAATAAGTTGCACGTGTTTCGGGACCTCGAGCCCTTTGCAATCGGTGGAAAAGCCAAAGTTCGATCAAGTAGAGAGTTAGTAAACAAGATTATTTACATTTTGTAATGAAAAAGGTGTCTCAGTAACGACACGGGGAATGTGTTTAGTTCGCAAGTTGCAGCCCAACATGCGGTGAATGTACATCGACTACAGATAAGAGCGTCCAGTTCAGAGGACATCCATGAATGAGAAACAAATCGTATAAAAGGTGCTCACGGCTGTAAAAATCACAAGTTTCAGACAACCACAGAGATAGCCTATTGAGTTATATAGGGCTTTCTCGTCATTCACAGACGTAATTGTCGGCATTTAGACAAGCTGATGGTACTTGGCAGCACGCAGTGAGCATTTGGTGACATCGGTCCTCGTGAGGACGAAACCTGTCAACATTTGAACCTTTTGTACGGTACCCCGGGGTAGCATAGTACCTCCTGCTCAGGGCTATACCTAATAAATGAAACTTTAACTTGAATAATGTCCGTGATGCAGTCATCTTTAGTCTGTGTTGACGGTCGGAGATGCGGCAATCGACTCGTCTCGACGAGCTGTACTCACGATGCGCTATTCAAAGTTTGCAATTTCTCCTGTACGACTATTAAATGATGGGTGCCTCATCGGTCAGGGAGCTAAGCCAGAACCACAGGGATATAGGTTTTAATCTAGGTTACGGCCACTTGTAATTTACCTGGGATGGTCGAAGCACAGTCACCGAATGACTGTATTAAACATTGCAGGTAAAATGTTCAATTTCATTTGGACGAATAGCAGATATGTCATGATAAAAAAAAAAAACTTATCGCTGCACACAAGCACCCATACACAAAACACACTAATTTGGGTTTTCACTTACTTTGGCTATATTCCAGCATTGAAATCTTAAACATCGGTTTGACTTTCATGGGGGGGGGGAAAAAAACCTAATCGCAGGGTGCATGGGAGAGTTCGACCACGAGTTTGCGAGACATCGTGCATAAAATAATAATAGCAATTCTACCGTGAGACTTCCAAATGGCTTCTTCGTCTCATCGTCTGGCGCTACGACCTTGAAATAAATTGGACGGAACAAAAGATCCCTTTTTTTGCCGTTTCACACGCACAGTTTATGGCAAACATGCAGCGATCCTCACTCATCTTTCAAAGGGCATTGAGCGACGCTCTTGCAACACACGTTCGTCCACAGTACACCCGAACAAAATCGCTATCCTCAGGGGTGGAACGATTCACTCCACTCCCCGAAAAAAAGTGTCCCAGAAATAAAATATTTGATTGCCTCGGCCCATTTTTTTGTTATTATTTGGTACCCCGGGGTACCGCCATAAGGATCATTTGTCATTAACTGGGAACACTGTCGGCCTCTCGGTCACATTTGCTCAAATTTATTTTGATGGTGACCAAAAACAAGAGCACCACAATGAAATTATTCAAGAACCGCCTATGGTTTTTTTGGCATAATTGCATAGAGGCTGTGTGTGCTTTTGTTCCACGTGCACTAAGTCCGCTTAAGCTGCAGTGACCCACCAACACGACGCACAGAACAAACTCCTCCGTTTTGTGCAGTCTTCTGAAGAGCTCTTTAAAACACCACAAGTGATTGTTTCCCTCATGAAGGAAATACAATCCTAACAGGGAGCCAAATACCTGCCTTGCCCAAGTGCAGGGTCGGTTAGTTCATTGTAACAATACGTAAACAAGTAAACAACTGCATCTCTTGTACGTTTTTTATATATGCAGTTTTTTTAATTCACTTAAAAAGACGTGGCATGTGAGATGTATGAAACAAGGTAAATATTACTAGATTAAAACTGGGTTTCTATACATTACTGTATGCTAGTTATATGAAATCCCGTAAGATATACAGGAAATGTATGGCCAAAACGAGTGCCTTGCAATTTCTCGAAACTGCATATTTCACCGCTTTGTCCTGTGAAACTAATACGAAGGCGATGTCTTGTGGCTTACCTGATTCTGCTTGTTCTAAAGGAAAATGATCTGTTGGGATTGGATGAACACACGGAGCATCTGTTGCAATTGGAGGCAATCAAACGGGAGCTGGAGGAAATGAGTGAGATGATATCGACTCTCTCTGGTATGGCATTGTTTTGATTATCAACCATATGTAAGCTCACGAGCTCTGTTTTAATCCAAGGTGGAATTGCTGATTTTTGCAGACTTGTAATATTTTTTCTCTTTAACAGAGCAAGCCCACCGTCTGATGATAAACATAACATTTATGGGTTCTGATCCAACGTTTGGTTTGGACTCCACGGAAGAAGTTAGAAAAATATGCAACGACTGCAAGGAAAAGATGGAGCAGGACTGGTTGGAGGTCATTCAATCTTGCCTTGCCACAGTTGCCATTCCACCTCCGGAGAAATGAATACATTGCCTTTTTACACATTTGTGTGTTGTTTAAAACTTCTGGAGCTGTAAAAAATGGTTGGTTGGTAACCAAAATGGTTATGTAAAAGTTGATTTTGCATGTGGTATAAGGAGCCGTCCATAAATGACGTCACACGATTTTGGACGATTTTTAACCAAACCCCGTCAAAGTCAGACCCCCCCCCCCTCAAATATGACGTCACAAAGCTCTGCCCCCCGCCCCCAAATTAAAACATTCTTCAAATCGCTTTAAACTAGTCATTGTAGTGCGTATTTAATGTGGCGCTGCACTCTGATGTTGTAGGAGAAAACATTTATTAAAAAGTCTATTTAATTAAATAGAACGTGTTGTCTATATTTATTTAAAGTTGAGCATTTTGATGTGACATCACATTTCTCAAACCCCCCCTCGTCACATGTCTGACCGCCCCCCCCCCCCCAGGTGCGTGACGTCATTTATGGACGGCCCCTAATTGAAGCGTTTCATTTTAATAAGTAAAGTATGTGATGTATTTCCTTCTGACACCCTAAAGCTCTATTCACCCCTTGTCTCCTAATTTTTCTAGCAATTAACAAGCACACATTTCCAGTCATTTGGTGTCAACAAAAATATTTTTCGTGGACATTTTATTTTAATCGGTTTAAAAATAACATGGTATTTTGGTCACCATAAAATATTGCACTTAAAATGTCAACCACAAAAAGAATATCCAAAGCCTAAAATAATTTAATTTACAGGTTTCACAAAAGAACATTGCTCTGGATTTAACCTATAACTCATAAAAATTTACATTTAAAACTTTATATTTAAAAGACAGACCAAAATATACAAACCATTGATTTGATTTTTTTTTACAGTTTGTGCACGTCAAACATTGCAATACTGTAAAATAAAAAAATATTAATGGTTTTCGTTACTTTGTTGAATACAAGCCCTTGTTCTTGCTTTCATAAATCATTCACACCTTGTTACATTCATTTTTGTTCAAGTTACCACCATGTTGTGGTTCCTGGAGGAACCATTACCTCATTCTTAGGCTTCCCTGTGCCTATTAACTGTTATGCACTGTTGTTCAGAGTTACTTAAATTTGTTTATTTGCTGTGCCGGTTCATTTTTTCTTTGAAAATACTTCATCACCAACAACAGCAACTCCATGTGATTTATTTCTAGCTCATCCTTCAATATATGCGCTTTGGATTTTGCACGACTTTTTTGCATTGTATTGGACATTTATTTAACAGTACCTCCGTGTTACATAGACCATTTACATTTGCCAATGCTTAGAGGACGTTTTGTGCTATTGCCATATGGACTGAAAAACTGTTATGCATGAACATCTATTTTGAATTACAAGTCAGGTCTTGAAATGGGTATAAAGTTGGAGCTGTAGAAATTATTGTATGTTATTTCCTGCAGCTTTAACCAAATGATATGCCATATGTACAGGTTATCATCCCTAAATAAAATGGTTTACTTTCATCGTACACTTGTCACACCTATTTATTCTTAAAACTTTATTATTTAGTATAGGTGGTGACAATTAGTGGAGCATTCCATTAATTTAGAGGTATCCATAGAGTTAAGTTGTTCTGAAAGGTAGCCTTAGAAAAGTTAACATTGAACAAAATAGTATCATTGTACATGTCTCCATAATGAGCATGTAATGTATTCGTTTTGGTAACATACTGGATGGAAAAAATAGATTTTAAAGAAAAATGTAAACAGACAAGCTGCCAGTATTTATAAATGGTCCTGGCCTATTAACAGCAAAAGATTCAAGTAAAATGTTAACATTTATCAGGAAACTAAGCAGTGAAACATTAAGATAATTTGATTTTTTTGTAACTCAATGTAACCAGAAAAAAGCACAGACAAAATTCTGCATGTATGAATTTGTATTATTATACACAATGTACAAAATCTAACCAACCCCAGGTCAACATAGAACAACCAAAAGCGCTTATGTACTAGAAAATGAGTTGGAACGTAATCTTATGCCGGAGAGGCTGTGTGTTCGGGAATGCTGGCGATTGACGGGGATTATGGGCGGGTCGAGTTCTGCAAACAGTGCAGCCTGGGCTATCTCCTCCGCCTCTGGCCTGAGTGACGGGTCTTGAGCCAGCAACCTCTCAACCAGCTGGTGCTGAAAGCACAAAAAAACACGAGTGAACGTGTCGCCGTATTTTCAATACTGAGCAAGTAACACTATTATAACCAGTTCTTACACGAAAAATGCATGTGTAGAATTGTGAGTGTGAGAATTATAATACAAATATTATGCTAATACATTGCATACTTAGGCAAATTTAATTAAAGCAGACAATACAAATGCGACAAATAGATTATTGAATTGTCAAAATTCCAGGGGGTGAGGGTTAACAACAACATTGTTTTACCAGTAATTTTCCCACTGTAAAACCTTACAAATACACAATTATTTGTACAGATTACACTTTGGAACAATGGGGCACATTAAATTCAAGGAACTATCTTCACACAATTCATACACAACACTTACCTCATCCACATTGCTCGTCACAAAAGGATCAGGGAATATGCGATTTCTGGCAGCAGAAAGTGTCTGCAATGACAAAAAGGCATGATTTATTTCCCAACGTGCATACATATGTTTATTTATTCAAAATCAAATGCATATGCATTTTGCAGTAGCCAGAATCCAGGACTTGAAGAACTGCATATGCTCACCTTGATTCTTTCCATTTGTGTGCCAAAAGGACACAGCAGCTCAAACAGAATGAGGCCCAAAGAAAATATGTCCACCTTATGAGAGTATGCTCTGCCAGCAAGCTGTAACAAAATATAAATATGACTTTAAAGCATAAATACACAGCACTTAATAGTAATCTGACAATACATCAAATATGAAACCCTGACAAATCGGTTGTAGCCAAAAATTGTTCTAACAATGTTGCACAAGTTTACTCCGTTGTTTCATGCCATACGTTCATAACTTCATGCATGATTGATGTTGGCAAGTTTTATGTGTTTGCCCGTTTGAAATAAAAAATAAACTCCATGTTGGTCATGCTGTGTCTCTACAATACAAAACACTTTACTCTTAAACAGATGCTCTATGGTTTGTAAGGATCTTTATTCTCAACAGCCATATACACAGTTGTGGCATTCGGGTGTGTGGTTCAATAATGTCTTCTATAGTTTCTATGTTAGCATAAAACCTCAACCTGAAAGCATATGAACCTGTGATGCAGTCATTTTTAGTCTGTTGATGGTCGGCAATGCGTCAATCGACTCATCTCGACGAGCTGTACACGATGCACTGTGGTGCATATGAACGTTCAGGGTTTCAGCACAATTGTCCTCGCTGCGTTTCGACATCGCGGAGTAGCACTGATTTCGGATTGATTGGCACCCCAGTCGCGGAGTTAGATACACCCCTGGAAAAAATAGTGTCCCAGAAATAAAATATTTAATTGCCTCGGCCATTTTGTATTATTTGGTACCCCGGGGTACCACCACAAGGATCAGTTGGAGAGCGTAGGAACACACTGCCTATAACACAGCAAATGTGGGAAGTAGTTGCAGGTGTGAAGATATCACGAGCGGAAAGGGTCGTCGTCACAGGTGTGAAAGAGTCTTACAAATAGTGATCGTGCTCACTTGCACACACCTGCTCGGGGCTCATGTAGAGCTTGGTGCCGACCTGGCCAGTGTGGTGAATATGACCCGGCATGGGAGTCAGCACCGCCCCTTCCTCCTCGTGCTCCGTGCCCGTTACCAACCCAAAATCTCCGATCTTCACAACTCCATCCAGCGAGAAAAAGATGTTTGATGGCTGTGAATGCAGAAATAAAGAACACACAAACCCAAATTATACATTAACATTACATTTGTTAGATTGCAATGCTTAATAGTTCAGAAGATGTAAATTACCTCACCCCACAACGCGCAATCTACCGATTAACTTTTACAAACGTAATCTTGCCAAGTCGCTTCAACCACCACTCCATTTGCGTGAAGCTGACAACTACTCAACGATGGCAGCTATACAAAAATAAAAAGAGATCCCACCAACAGCCTGGTTACCAAAATGAACAAAATCATCTCTGATTCAACAGCATTAATTGATCAGACCAAACAGTTCTCGTTGAAACCCTCTGCTGCCAGACCACCAAGATTATATGGCCTTCCAAAGATACACAAAGAAGATACAACCCTTCATCCCATCGTCTCTACTATCAACTCCCCCACCTATAAAAACTGGCACGTTTTCTTGCTGATATACTGCGACCTTTCACTGGAAAAACCACCTCTGCGGTACTAAATTCTACTCACCTGGTATCGACAATCAAAGGCATTTCCCTGTCCCCAGACGACCTGCTTGTCAGTTTTGATGTGGTGTCCTTGTTCACCAAAGTTCCAGTACCTGACACCATCGCTATCATTGAAGACTTGGTTCATCAAGGACTGCATACTGATGTACCCCCCCCTGGTGAGACATTGCTTAACCAACACATACTTCACCTGGAATGGAACTTTCTACAAACAGACTGAGGGCACCCCAATGGGCTCCCCCGTCTCCGGTTGTAGCCAACGTATTCATGGAAAAATTTGAAACTGACGCCATCCAGACTGCCACTCTACGCCCGATCTTATGGAAGAGGTACGTGGATGACACTTTTGTCATCTGGCCACATGGCCAGCCTGCTCTAGACCAATTCCAGGACCACATCAATTCCATACACCCAGCTATCAGATTTACCATGGAGGTGGAAAAAGATGGCAAGCTACCCTTTTTGGATGTCTTAATTAAAAGGAGACCTGATGGCTCAATGAGCCACTCTGTCTACAGGAAAGCTACCCATACAGATGCTTACTTGAAACCGGATTCCCACCACCATCCATCCCAGAAGCACTCCCTCATCAAGACTCTATACCATAGAGCCCAATGCATTTCCGACCAGGAACACATTACCAGTGAACTCAAGCACGTACACCAGGCTCTCAGGGCTAATGGTTACCCCGACTACACAATCCGCAAAGCCATCACTCCAGTTATGAAGAAGGATCCTCTTGTGGAGCCACTCAAAACCATCACCTTACCCTACATTGCAGGGGTCACTAAAAAGATTTCCAAAATCCTGAATAAACACAAGATCCAGGTCCGATTCAACACAGTACATAAAATCCGTGATCTGGTTCCATCTGTAAAAGATGCTGTTCCAGACATACAGTACCCGGGCGTTTACAAACTAAAGTGCCTCTGTGGTAGTAGCTACATTGGAGAAACCAAAAGACATATCTCGGACCGCATCCGCGAACATAAAGCAGACTTGAAACACGGTAGAACGAACTCCTCCGCCGTGGCAGATCACTGTTATAATTCAATGGGCTCACATGACATTGACTTCTCCAAGACGGAGGTTCTTTGCAAGCCAACCTGGCTACCATGAGAGATTCGTTCATGAGGCTATCCACATATACAAGCACAGAGACAATTTCAACCGAGAAGATGGATTTTGGCTTAGTAACCATTGGAAAGATGTTTTAAACCATTTCGGTTCTTAATTAATTATTTTATGGTGACCTTCAGACCGCAGCTCTTTCGCTGGCATTGACTCTTGATACTTCTCACACCACGGTTAATGGAATGGTTTATAACATGATTATAACAGTGCCTCGCAGCTGTTTCTCTCCTCTGTTCCGACCATGGATGGACTCGTCCGTCTGAACGGGGCTCGTAGCGGTCCGTGGTGCTGATGTGAAGGGTAAGAATCCACCTATTTTTTCACCATATAGCATCGTGATATACAACGACTTATTGTTGGTAGCTCAGCTGATTGGAGAATATATAGAGTTTATTGATAACATTGAGGTATTCTTAGTTTTTTCGGTAAAGTCACGTTGAAGAGAAACAACAAAATAACAAAATATATATAAAACAATAAAAAAAAAATAAAAAAACATATATATATTTTGTTATTTTGTTGTTTCTCTTCAACGTGACTTTACCGAAAAAACTAAGAATATAATTACTGCAGTCACGAAAGCTTTAAATCAAAACATTGAGGTAGTTTATATTTTAGTTTTTTTATCTGTTTACTATATGGTATTCATTATATAGTGTAGTGTATACCCAGTTGCTGTTAATAGCTCTGCTTATTGAAGAATATATTGAGTACATTTATTATATTGATGTAATTTAGACTTAGGTTTTTTTCACATCGGTTTACTGTATGATAGTTGAGTTGTTGCAGCTCCTTTGGCGTCCATGCACTAGGTACCTCTGTGGATGTGTAGGCTTTGACCAGTCACAAGCTAATCCCTCAACTATTTCAATGGTAAATTCTCCTGTTTGATATGTAAACCCCTTTGTCAAGGTGCCTCACTTCTCTCAACCACCTTAAAAGACGCTGCGAATCTTAGCAGCGTTCATTGTAGCTCTGTCGTCCCGACAGGTTTGTTCCTTTCACCTGAAGGCCACTTGTGTTGTGGCCGAAACGTCGTGAGAATTTTATTGTTTTATTTTATTCTCATTCTACGTGACTTTACCGAAAGAACCAAAGAAGATGCACACATTAAAGCTGATGTGGTTTTGTACCCAGTGTTGTATGTACAATTTGAGGGTAAAATCCGTGCGGCACCTTCAGGTCACGGTGCATGAGGCCGGAGACGTGCAGGAACTGCACGGCGTTGACGATCTGCTGGAAGATGGTCAGGCACTCAGCGCGGCTGCGATCGGCGGCATTTGTCCTGCTGTTGAGCCACTCCTTGAGGCTGTCCTTACGGCACAGCTGCATCTGGATGTAAAGGAAGAGCCGGGGTACCGGCCCTGTCTCCGTGCTCGCGTCCACGTGCGTCCTCGCCGGCATCGGCGCCGTGTGCGTTTCGTTCAGCAATAGCGACGTAGGCCTGTTGGGCTGGGTGGCCGTGGAGCTTGTGCTGGTGCTCGCGGTTTCGACCGGAGGAGTCGCCGCTTTGTTGGAGTCTGTCGAAGAGCTGGAAATAAAAATGTGGAAAGAACAAAGTTCGCAAATGTTCCAACAAGGAATGGCAACCTCTCGCACCCATTTTCATAATTTGGTCAAGTGGTGGTAAACAGCGGTGAGTGGTTTGCTACGTGGCATCAACTCCTGACTACGGCTAATAGCAATGGCGAATGATATGCGAACTTGTCCGTGTCCCTGCCTCCTACCCTTTTACCAGCGACCAGTGTTGTGAAAAGTAGTCAACCAGTGCTACGACTGACGTGGTCATTGCGGATTGGCGAAGCAGGGGGGATCAGAACTGGTTTCGATATCACTCACCACTGATGTTAGCCGTGCAATGCCCCCACCACTCCTCATGAATCTTTGTAAAGGGGGCAGGGTTAACCAACTCACCTATCTGTGGAGGTGCTGTGCATGTGGGACTCCTCTGGGTTCCCCGCTGCACCAGAATTCATCTTCCTGCTGGACTTCTCCCCGCACCCCGAGTCCTCAAATACAATGTCCAGCGAGTCGTCCGTGTGCTGCGCACCCCTCACAAGGCTCGTATCCTGCGATGTGGGCCCGGACTCCTCGCACTCTGTGAGGAGGCTGTCGTCCTGGCACTCTCGTGGTTCGGGCGACTTCTCAGTGATGAACGAGAGGTCGGAGGACAGCAGAGAGCCCTGCGTGTCGACCGCTGATGAGTTAACGAGGAAGGAGATGGAAGGCAAGTCGAAATCACTCCACGAGCGCGACAGGGTAGTGCTCTCCCGTGGCATGGGCCTCAGTGGCAGATGGGAAGGGAACTTCTCCGATTCCACCGGGCTTTGAGAACTGAGCACCCATTCACTGCTAAATGAGAAACAACATTAGTAGCAAGTGATGTATTAAAAAATATAAAGTTTTCAACGAGTAGAGTTTTACAACTACAAGAGAATACTATTACTACAAAGACATACAAATTCGGTAAGTTATAAACAGAATTCTGACCTTTAATCATGAAGTAACAAATGTTATTTAGATGCAATGAAAGATAATGTAAAAATATTTTGAAATAATTCAACTTGCTACATAGTAGAAAATGTTCACCTAAACACAATAACGGATGACAGTGTTATGAAAGCACAAAAACTAACCCATCAAACTGCCAATTGTATTATGCTTATTCTCTGCTGGGCATCGAGCAAAGCCATCAACTCAAGTTATTGACATTAATATATAAAGTGGTCGAGTGGTGGTGCAGTGATTAGCATTCTACGCTCGTACTTGTCGACATGAGTCTGATTCCTGGTCATGGCTTACAGCAATCCCGAGTTACATGAACCGGTCTTGGGATATAACCCCCCTCATCACCCTTCACCAACCAGTACTGACCAGGAGACTAAAGCAAGGCTCCACAACCCTGATGACCAACATGGCATGGTAAGACCTTCACTCAGCAGTGAATTGACAAAGGCCTAAAAATTAAGAATGTATTAATGGCTGCAAAGGAATACATTAATGAACTCGCCTGCAGTCACTGATCCACTGCTTGTCCTTCTCCTCCTGCCAGTCCTGTGGCGGCATCTCAAGCCACGCGTTGAAGTAGCGAACTACGCCCTGGTGTTCCAGCTTTGCCAGAGCCTTCACCTCACGCATCACCTTCTCACGTGCTTGTATCCTGAGCGAGACAACCAGCGCGACAAGGTACAGTATATTTGTATACAGTAGGCACTCAACGACGTGTGGATTAAATCGAGTAAAATATCTGTGCCTTCTTTGGTTCTTTCGGTAAAGTCACGTAGAATGTGAATAAAATAATAAAATAACACAATAAAATTCTCACGACGTTTCAGCCGAAACGTCGTGAGAATTTTGACGTGACTTTACCGAAAGAACCAAAGAAGATGAATCCTTGCAGTCACGAAAGCTTTAAATCGAAATATCTGTGCCTGTTGCGGCTGTATGGAGCTACAGCTGATCCGAAAAAGAGGCGGCGGTGTGGGCAATTTCCCATCACCAGGTCGGCCTCTCTTCTCCGAGTCACCAGTTATCGTGCGTGTGGATTTACGAAACAATGCATCTTTGTTATTAAAGCTTTTCTGCTTTCTGTGCCAAACCCTGGCACGACGTAGCAATTACTGTTTGGTGGCATCTGAATGTGTAATTATAATAGTCCGTTCATATAAAGTAGGCATTTAACAACACTCATTCATCAATTAAAATCGATTCTCATGAAACAAGCATAAAATAGCGCATCTAAGAATTAATTGACAATGGATGAAAATAATATATTAATATTATGTTCACGCTTCACGAGCGGATGAAAGTGTACAATCAAGACAAAAAACAACAAAAAATATAAATGGGACTCGAAACGAAATGGTCACTTAACGGTGCCAATATGGAGGTTCGTGTAAAGGAACACTCGGCACTTAGTTTGCTAGGGGGATGGGGTGGGGTGAGGGGCTAAAAAAGACCAGTTCACCGAATAACATCAGATAACAATCACTGGAATGATAAGGGTGAAGGTTCCCTAAGGCGAGGATCAAACAAAATTCAATTTAACGTGGTTACTTCACGTTTATCTGATGCACTTGGAGCTCTATGCAGCATCCAATGTCAATGATCTTTCCAAGAGTCAAAGCACTATTTCAAGCGCATCCTCCTCCACAACTGGTATGTTTCACGTGCTTTCTCTAAGTTGGCCTCATTTCGGACTACACATGCATTACCAAGATGGGTTTCTATCCAAGGACAGGGTCCTAATTATGCTTCAACATTACTGATTTACGAAGTTAAAGCTTACTCCTGACATTTACTGCAGGCCACCATGCATGCTAGGTTGTTACAGGCTGTGGGCTATGCGGTGGCCAGCAGAGGGTGGTGCAGCAACATCCATAGTTGTACTACACTGATTCTTCCAAGTCTATGCTCCTTCGCGCGTTCACCAGCACGGCAAGGTTTGATAAAATAACCCTGACGCGTCGTTCAGGCGCGAGGGTTGGTGGTTTGTGTGTTGTATACAGTGCAATGCCCTCGTGTAAATGGTAATGAAATCTTTCTTTCATTTATTTTAAAAGCGGTGGTTATATTCCACTCTCCTCAATGGCCCATACAGTTAGCCTCAATAAGCCCACTCCTATTCCTCACATTGAAGGCACTGCCAATTTATCGGTGTCACAGGGATCTTGGTGTAACGGCATAGGGCGTATCAATAGGTTCTTTCATTTTCAAGGGACTTAGCCTGGCTTCACACCCATGTAATTGGCGATTCAAATCACACCTTTTTGCTTCATGTTTTAAATGGGTTTTTAATACTGGTATCCCCTATGCCAGTGTACACGCACGGTCCTTTGTCGGTCTACTGCTGTATCGGAGGGTGGTTTATATGACCACATCTCACCATGCTGGTCAGTGTGGGTTGGTGAAGGCAATGAGCATAGACATGGGAGAAGATAAGAAGATTACAAACATGTATTTTGCTGCACTTCTCTAGGCGGCCCACTGCATTGCCTCGCAGCAGCCTACGACAACCAAGAGTGAATGTGGTCATGCATTCAGGCACATCCAGGCTTAGCCCAACTGAGCTTGAGGCCTGATGAGATTTGGTCATAGGCTCTGACCTAAAGACACACACTAAACATATGCTTTAGCCATGTAAATGTACCCCTCTCCCTTGCGATTCGATGAATGCTACAACTCGATTCAAGAAAGTATTGTTTGCGTTTCCTTTTCACCATCTCGTTTGTAGCATTTTCTCATTTTCTGTCTCATTTGTACATTTGCATAGAAAAAAAAGACAATTAAGTAGGATAAGGCTAATAATGTGAAGGGCCTGGTTGGTACCGGTTGGGCAAGCGGATCCTCTTGATGGCATAGTGGCAATCGTCGACTTTGTTCCGGGCCTCGAAAACGACGCCGAACCCTCCGCGCCCCAGGCACTGCACGTGCTCGAAGTCGGTGAGGTACCTGCGAAAGCAGAGAAGTATATAAGGGGATGTGTAAAGTAATTCGGAGCCTTTGGCCACTGCCTTAAAACTGCCCTACGGCGGTTCGTGTTTTCAAGAAAGAAACCTGTTCAAGACTCCAGCCGTGTGCTGGAACGCCTCTACACAAGCATTCTAACAGTGTGCTCGGTTTAAGATGCATATTTTCACAAGCAGCTATAATAAAGTGATCCTATACTATAAAACTGCTGCTAAACTGTGAAAAGGCTGTCATGTAGAAAAATGAGTTACTAGAGCTAAATAATGTTTTGGCTAAACTGCTAGATCATGGCCGATAATCTATAACAGTATTTCTCAACTCTAGTTCTGACGACCCCCATGGTTCAGCTTTTGGTGATATCCAACCATCAGGTGCATGCAGTGCGCACTGGTATAATTTGCATATTAATAAAAAATATGTAATTAAGAAACAGTCATGCCAGTGGGGATTATGCCCACTGCAGTTGAGAGACACTGAGCAAAAATATCATAATTCACACAGACGACAATGATTGATAATGTGAAGATGGTAATGGCTGATTGCCACCGATTGTAAATCTTTTGCAAATATTGTTGAGAACTTTCAAGTTATGTTGAGGAAGCATCCAAAAGTTAAGGAAATTATACCGTACACAGAGACTCACACTATTCCTTTAAATCTGCATCACACAAACCCCGAAAAACCGTTGCACGTATTCCAGTAACGTACCCGAGCTGTGGAGAGATGTTAGTTACGTTTAAACACGTCTTGGTTTACAGAAATTAACTGCCAAGTGTATGCAAGGAACCAGCTCAAAATACCTGCTGACGTAGGTGGTAAGATTGTCTTCCGCTTGGGCTGGGTGGTTTGGCTGCTTTGTCAGGATGTCACACACGCTGTCGGTCTGCGCCTCGCTCTCCGACGACTGACGTTTCTGCAGCGCGCACAGGGAACCCCAGGGGCAGTCATACCTACATAACTGCTGCGTCCAATTGAACTTTTTAAAACAGATATGTATGTAAATGTTCAAGTAGCTAATGTATTGGTTTCATGAGCATCTTTTCAATTAAGACAGGAAACGTTGCTCCTCTAGGAACTAAATAACTAATGTACGTACCAGATATGAATACTCAACTTTGCACATAAGACATTACAATAAAAAACAACTATTTTGGGACAATTTAAAGCGACAAAAATTTAAATAAATGTATTCCCTTAAGACCCTTCTAACTCCTCCCAAAACACTGCTGAGGCTACACGCAATACTATTATCACAAGTTCCTAAAAGGAAGATGACACCGCAACATATAGCTCTTATCTTGTAGATATTTATTTGGGCTTTGCATGATGGACTGCGAGATAAGAACGTCAAGCTATGTTATTGAAGAAAAAGGATTTCAAATTATGGTTAGGTATTATATTATAGCATTATATTAAGATTACTGCATTGAAATATAAAACTGTATCTGTCAGATGTCACTTAAGAGGTACAGTAGTGCCCCTGATCAAAACTTCAAGTGCCTTTTCCCTATTAATGAAATTTCAGTGTGCGACAGCTCCAGGTACAATGCCTAGGAATGTATCTATAAGATAACATCTATTTGCTATTTCAGAATTGCATCTTCTTGCAATGGCACTTAAGTGCCCCACCATGATCGCGGTACGGAGCACATGCTTTTTTTTAACAAACCGAACGTACTTTGTAGGTTTTCACAGTTGTGCTGTATAGCTCACCAAAATGTTTCAGGTTATACCACCCGTTGTTAAGTGCTATGTCTAAAATTCTCTCCAAGCGCATGCAGCAAAACATTGAACATCACGCCGAACAAACGCACGGATACAACACACCGAAGAGCATTAACTCCCCTTCCAATGTAGAAGCCACTTTGGTGACTGCGTGTGCACACGTGAGCGAGCGAGCAAACGTACCCGTCTGATAGTGGAAAGCGAATTCCGGAAGTAAACGATAATGACGCAGGTAGCCAGCACGACGGTGAGCACCAACGAGGCGAGGACCTCCATGGAACGGAGCGACGCCTCGGGCGGCTCCGGCTTCACCTCGAAGTCGATGAGGGCGGGCGGCGGACGCAGCACACCGCGGCCCGGCACAGGGTCGGGACCGTCAGCCACCAGTCCCGCTGCCGCTCCCTGGTCCATGGCCTCGTAAGTGTGCAGGAAGTAGAAGCCGTCATCTGCACAAGCAAAAAAATTAAGAGATATGATGATGGGTGCTGAGAGGCAACGGACGCTTTCTTTTGTTGGTGAGAAATGCGGTGACATTTTCGACGGCAAAAAAGAGCGCCGTAAAGATGTGGTCGTCAATGGTGAAACGGTAAAATCAACAAGTCTGTAGTTTTATTTCGTATATTATCACAGAACTTTCGTAACATAGAAGTGTTTTTTTTATTTTTACTAGGCCAAACACATTGTCAATGTTTTGTGGGATTATTTTTGGTGCAACAAATATCAAACTTATTATATAAAAGTGTGTACACATTACTGTTAATGCACAAGAGTATATATTTGAGTGGTAGAGCAGACTCACATCCAGTGGTGAAAACTAAACGCAATCCCACAGCGCCCCCTAGTAAAGAGAGAAAGGTAGAACATGAAGAAAATATTTACAGAGGCACTGAAAAGTTGGAAAAGCCTTCCTGTAATTGAGCACAGACACGAAGTAAAGCAATGGAAGAAAGGTAAGCAAGCTTGCAGGCCCCTGTAACAGCATCATCGTTAGCTTTTCAAATGGGACGAATTTACAGCTCACAAAGTCACACATTCAAATGGGACTTTTTTTCCAACCGCTTAAAGGACCAACCAAATGATGTTGCTGGCGTGTGCAGATAAAGCGGTGAAGAGAACCATCGGGCTTTCCCCCGCACCTTCAGATTAGCACGGTTGGCTACGTACAGTGCGAAAGAAGTCCAACGTACATACACAATGGTGAAAGGGGGGTGAAGTGAGCAGGGCATTCGCGGCTCACTATTGGACGAGGTGATGACTGAGAGGGCACCAGCTGCCGACTCGCCACTCGGGTCGGCAACGCCCCCGTTCATGCGTCGCTCCAGCTCGTTAAAAGGCACGTTGGCGGGGGTCAGGGACGGGGCCGTGGCTGCGGGTTACACAAACCACAACACCAGAGCAGCACAAGAAAGCCAGCGGCTTAAATGTATTTACAGACCAATCAAACGAATGCAGTTTTTTTTTTATCCAACAAATATTTATTTCACAATATTGATTCCAAGCTGAGTTGCAAAAGGAGGTTTTAGTGATTCATGATCCTTGAGAACGTACGATAAATGCAAAGGAAAGACAAGCAGCAAAGGCACACCCCCTACATGAGTGGGAAAAAAAACAGGAAGATTAATTTGCCAATACCATTTATAATTCCACATAATATACTACACTCATATAACACAGATGGCATTGCGCATTTATACATTTCTTATGCATTTTTTTTCCAGTGTTTACTTTCAGCTGTGCACAATTTGCAGTTGCATAAATTAGGTTGGTGCTTGGAAATTAGTGACACCTAGGAAACCTTGTACATTCTCCCAATATAAATCAGAATGAATCAAGTAAAATAAGGGCAGCAGCTGGATAATCTGGCCACCGAAAACAGTCAAATATGCCTTCTGGTAGAAATATCCAAATAGTTCAAACTATAAAATCCTATCCCTTCTACTCACTCACTCAACATTAGCTTACAATATATGCAATTTGGAGTTCTCAGGAAAGGTGTTTTTTTATTCTGATGGCTGGGCTTGACTCCTCACCACTCACCCAGCATTGGTTTCCACTTGACCCTAGGCACAGAGATGACAGCGTTGGAGTTGCGGTCTCCGTCCCATGCGTGCTTCTGGGCCACCTGTGCTATCTTCTGTGCCATGGTCAGTGAAGACTGGATGTACATCTGTCCCCTGTACATGCCTGCAAAAGGGAAAAGTGCAGCCTTGCAACTCCACTCAAGTCATTTCCGGAAAAGGGCCACCACTAGAGAGAGGTCGAGAGAGCCCCTACAGAGTATATTTGGCCTACTCTTCCATGCTGACCAGATGTCTTGGAAGGGGTGGGCATACCCACACGCGACCCACCAACCGACTAATTGTGGTGAACCATTTTGCTGCTGGGTGGACAGGAGCGGAGAGATACAAAAAAAACTTGGCCATTATTTGAAAATGCTGAGCCAGGATATACAATCAAACCAGTAACCTCTGGATTCCAAGTATAGTGTTTTAACCATGGCAGCATCCTTGTAATGCCTGTTGTACGGCAAAACAAACTTGTAAGCACGAATTCTGACCCGGTGAGTGCAGGAGGATGCAAAAGGGCTGCATCATCACCGTGTGTCATACCAAGGTAGACGCTGGGTTCGGCCACGCCACGTGCTGCCTCCACCATGTCCTCTTCCTCATCATCCTCCTCGTCCTCCTCACGCTCGTCAGGCTCCAGAGCCGGCACCACCTCACGGTCGAAAAGACTGACGGGCAGCACCTGGCCATCTTTAAGAAGCCACGCTGCCGCCACGGGACTTGAAAACTGCAAAAGGTACCACAGTGGGAAAAAAAAACAAAGCTACTGGCCCGCATTCGTCAACAAAACGTCAACACCACATGGGACTGTGACATAATTCGAGTAGTCACGTCACAATATCCGTAAGGTATTACTGCAGTATGGTTTTATTTGTATTATAGCTTCATACCTATATTCGAAATGTAAACAAGTGTGAAGTCATAAGCAGTGACGACAATAAGCAGATAAACAGTATATACACACACACACGCCAAATGTTGCAACAGCGCACAAAGCCAGAAGGCACCTTTAATGGTAGCATGTTAAGGCCAGAAACTCCAAGACGAGGAGTGGCAGAACCAGGAGGAAGCCAACTGGTATTCTTTTTTTAGTTACAAGCACGCGCAGCACAATGCTGCCACCGTGCGCTCGAGTGAAAGTCGATATTCACAATGCCGAGTGATTGGTGCCATGGCAGTGGCGCCGTTACCTTGTGCTCCCAGACCACCTCGCGGGCACCCGCCTTGCGGAAGGCCAGCACCTTGCCATCCGGCACAGACACCTTGAGGGCCACGTCCATGGTCTGCAGCAGCTTCTCTGGGTCAGGGCTCTTGTCCTCCTCCTTCTGGAAGTTCCCCTCGTTGCCACGGTAGAACATGATGTCGTACTGTCCCACGCTGAAATTCCACCTGGAAGAGATGACAGAAATGCCACGTTCATTCATTGACTTCAGACGTGGACTTTTTCCTTTCATTAAAGGTGCCGAAAGCGAGCCTGGATCTACTCACTTGACAGCTATACGTCAAATATCTAAGTAAATAAAGTGAATGTAAAGTCCTCTGTCAATCCACTGTAAGATGACGCATCACCACACTGTCAGTTGTGGGGGCCTTTAAACTATACTTCACTATGGTGAGTACAGGTTCGTTAAGTCGAACAATGCTACAACAAAATAGCAAGTAATTAATGGGACATTACTCACAATGTCCCATTCATTACTTGCATAGTTACAATTGTACTTTTTTCTGGTTGGACTTCGTATTTGTTTAATAATTTCCTGCAGTAAATTTAGGTTTAAAAATAATTTTAAATATTTGAGAATAATGCTGCGAGGAATGCACCAAAATTTTAAAGCTTAAACCAAACTTTCGTCCATTCATCATTTAGATTTTTTTTATTCATTGTGATGTCTTTTTAAAAATCAAGTTTATTGTGCTCTCATCTCCACTGTGTACCACGACAAGAGCCTAATGAAAGACGCAAGCCAAGGACCAATTCATTCTTACATAGAGAGGAGAAGTAGCTGTGCATCCCAGGTTGTTTGGCATAAGTTTGAGGCTTCATTGGTGGGAAAAAGTTCCGATGGCACTAGTGATGTTATCGTCAGCAGGAAGGTGAAACAGAACCATGATTTTTTTCTTTCAATGTCTCCTTCAGGAAGCTTCAAACTTGTATCGGTCAGTCTGGGACACGCAACCTAGGAACCCACCTACATTACTAAAGCTATTAGTTCTCAAAAAGCTACATCCCTATTGAAAGTCTAGTCATCTCACTGTCAACAGAATTATATTGCACCTGACCATGATTTTAAATACTTTTTTACCCTCATTAATAACGCTTAGAACTTGTGTCAGACAGCCCGGTGATGCCCAGCCTAAAGGCAATAATGCCAAGCGATAAGAGCTCCGTTGTTTTTATTCGTATGTTGCAACGTACTTCTCGGCGCCACTGCGTGGGGCGACGGCACGCACAGTCTTCTGCACGCGCTGCACCAACACGAGGTCGTCCGCATCCACCTGATCGTCCTCCTTCCACGGGCGGCAGCCGGCCGACGTGCAGCTGTACTTCAACTACAGCACGGTGTGCAACACGGCCAAGCATTCGCGTAAACAACTGTACCAAAACGCACACAGGAGCAGCACGCACTACGTCGTTTTTGGAAGAAACATATTGTGTAACGCACCCTATGGCACGACACAAAGACAAATGTCCCACGTGAAGCCTTTCAGACTGTTTACCGTCATCATTATTATGATAATCTATTACTTATATTGCACCTCCCGCAAAGTGCATTTCCAGATGCCAGAATGAAGGTGTATTTGAGATAACAAGAAAATCTTCAAATACAATGCGGGATAGAAAATACAATTCAAAATATGTAGATAAACATAAGCGACTGTTGGGGCAAGTTCTGTTAGCGAGCACCTACGAAGACCGCCATGGCACACAAATTGGTGGAGGCGATCATTATTACCACGTAAGGCCACCAATGTCTCCCCAGTGATGATGTTTACATAGTGTACCAGGTACTCTACGCATTTGAGGTTGAGTCCACCTAAGGCAGACCCAGTACTGGTTCAGGTACGACTTTCCACACGCAACCACACAAATGCATCCGCGTGCTCACTCATGCCAGGCGGTTGCACGAGGATGCCAAGGAGAAATGGACACAGCAGCAGCCGCCCCCCTGTACCTTGCCCGTGTCAGCCAGGATGCCGTAGGTGCTGATGGCCTTGCCGCCCATGAGCACGACATCGTCACCGAGACGGGATGACGAGTCGAGCAGAGACTCCACGGTGAAGGGCAGCGCCTTCATGCTGTCGCCGTCCCACTGGAACAAACTACCGTCCAGCGACGGGATGATGAGCTGCCCATTGCGGAAATCCTTCAGTGGAACCGGGGGGGGGGAATAGTAGGGGTAGACAGTGGCAGACAATGCTGATGAAACACCCGTAGCACAGTAAAGAGGGACTTAATTCTCTATGCCCCATGGTAGTGTATGGAGGTATAGGGGTGGCCCAGTTGAAACAAAGACGGATATTGAAAACCACGTGTAAATTTTTGTTTACGCTATGTAGAATGTGTCATCTGTATTTCAAGTCATTTCTTCACTTACCCACATACAGGTAGTCCTCTACTTATGATGGAGATGCGTTACGACGACCCCATCGTAAGGAAAAAATATCGTAAGTCGAAGATGGCCTAGCCTACCCAGGAGTCTTAAAGAATGGTGATAATTTAGCAAAACAGAGCAATTTATAGTACCGTACAGTATGAACTATATACTGTATGCATTTATTAATTACAATACTGTATTGCAGAGTAAAATGTTAAGTAAAAAACAAGGTAAATTCTTAGCCTACCTATATGAACTACAATTTAATAGAAAGTTTATTCAGGAAACAAAAAACAGAAAAAAATATACGCGCTAACACCGAGACAACTTAACTCCGTCGACCGCTGGTGAGAGTGAGGCATCACCAGACAAGGCGGGAGATGCGTACATCCCGGCAGCGTCCCAACGTACAGTATCGTACCTCGTACGCTGCTGCGTTTGCCTGACGCGCGAAATTTAAAGTATTTTACAATTTTGTCGTATCGCTATCGCCATCGTAAGGTCGAAATATCGTAAGTCGGACCATCGTAACTTGGGGACTATCTGTATTTGCAGCCACGTAGGCAATGAGTGGAACTCCTAATAATTAAGACAGAGCAATGTTAGACAATTTTATCACAACTATGCTCAATCCGCAAGCTGTATAAATACACCCAAAGATAATTGAGCTTTAACTCTGATTTGAAAAAATTGTCCTTTTCAAGCCACCTCAAGATGAAGGCTTCTTTCATGCTGTCATTCGTAGTCAACACTTCACAACACTGGTCAGTGGAAATTGACAAAGGGGATGAGATGGGGAAGCAGAACCGGTACAGATTCCACTCACCACTGATGTTAGCCATGGCCAGAAACCAAACTCGCCTAAGTTCAGAGTGCAGTGCACGAACCACCACTTTACTACTATATTTACCCAAGAATGTCAGTGTGTAATGAGCGTGACGTCACTCCACATCGACCAGCCCACCTCATTAATAATCATTATAAGTTGACGTCCTCCAAATGGACACCCCCCCAGCCATTAATAATACTTAGCGGCTGACGTCACTCCACGTGGGGGGGCGAGGCGCCTCCTCCCCCCTCCTCGGCGTCAACTCACAACCCTCACTACAAAGGCAGAACTCTCATCACGTCAAGCCATCTCCATAACGCTAGAGACAGAAGTAAAAAGGACGTCACGATGAACAAGGTATTATAACCTTTAAATGAAATAGGTCTGTGTCACCGCGCCCTTACAAATTGCACACGAATTGATGCAATGGATATAGCACGTCGCGGTCTGATTTTCGCTTGCAAGTTTCAGGTTTACTGCAATACGCCCGTCCTTGGACGGGCAAAAGGCCAGTATAGTAATAATCATTCGTCAATCGCTTGAGTCTCAATTTATTTTCAGTAGAGTCCTGCTGAAGATGCATTGACCAAGTTCATTAATGATTATTATTTTCGTAAAATGTGTTTAATTCAAACGAGTTTAAGCTCAAACACCCAGTCGAGATATATACTCAGACACCACAGGATAATAGCCTTACCTTCATATGTTAACCCCTGGGTCAGCCAAAGGATGTTACCAGGTAAGTAAACAGTAGAACTCTGCTAATCCGCTCTCATAATTACGCAAAGCCTAAGAAGTCGCGGCACCACTGCGCAACAATTCCCGTAATACAGAGGGGCGGGGATCCTTTTGCCGTGGAATTTTGGATCTCTTCCAGAAGAATATAATTCCACCCATAATTTGGGGCACACCGTGATGGTGCAATACTTTGGGGTTTTTTTTTCCCCCGTGTGCCGTGGACTGCCAGGTCTGCGAGTTATAACATTGTTAGGAGGGTTGTAAAATAATGCAAGCATTTATAGATTAATATCGATTGTTAATATGGTATATGCATCAACTAATGTGTTTACGAATCAATGTAGTTCGATTCGTGCTGCAAATAGTCTACGTTACCTCCGCAGCCAACGGTAGCCACTACATCGTCACATGTTTAAAAATATTTGAATCAAATCGCGACCCTGAATCGTCAAAGTTCATCGAATCATCAACAATATAGAAATAAAATTAGAGTAAAAGGACGTAGGTTGTTTGCTCATCTTTGTGGAATTATTGGAAGAAAATAACATTTAATCCATCGAACATTAGGGCCTTCATGTTATGTTTTCAAACGGATTTTGCTTAAGCAAGGCAATATTGATGCAGTTTCAACTTCAATGAGTCTCACCAACATGGTTTTATTCGTATAATGCTGAACTATTATTGTAAAGGATCATTTTCAGATGAAATTACAAGCCCAGCTACCACAAGTAATATGTTGTTTAATAGACTATTTTACAATCGGTTGCATCACTTCCTTTGATTACAACCATCGAGTAGAATAGCAAATAGAACAATTAATCTATTTACGAGGGAGACCCGAGATGAAAGTGGCATGTAAATTTTTTTATTTTTTTTTAATTCTACAACGCAGTATTTAAGGCAATATAAATTAATCGAATTCGTCATAGATGATAGTATTGTAAATAGAATGGCCTCAATTAAATTTATATTCTATATATAACAGAATACAAATAAAAGAATACGAAATTAAATGAATAAAATACAAATCAAAGATGTAGTTAAAAACCTTCACAGTCTACAACTTCAATGTTCATAAGGGTGAAAGCACTTTTTCATGGTTTAAACGTCCTGCACAAAGCAAAGCAACGAATAAGGCACTGTGTCAATTCTGCACTTGGATGTTTACATTTCCCAATGGAATGATGATCAAACTCCCATCTGCTTTTCCCACTTAAAGCAACCAAACGCGCACACAATCCGGTGGTTTAAATGTCTTAAGAGAAATAAACAAACACATTTTTACTTTCGGGAGCCACATCCCCGACGGCTCAATTAACTCACGGCGGCGGCGACAAGGCTTGATTCATAGGCACCATTACATTAGAGGTGTCCGCCGCACCTCGGCAATATAATTATCTCTTTTTTAAAAAAAATGGGGAGACCAAAGGCTTGCCGGGGAGGAGGGGGGGGGCAATGTGTCTACTCATTGGCAGCCCTCTTCCTGTACACAAGCGGTGGTGCAGTCTGCGGGAGTGGCGGCGTGGTGCCACAACAAACAGCTTGGGAGTGGATTAGGTAGGGGACCGGAGGGCGAGTCATCGCCTAAAGGGGGACGCATTACCTCATTGCTCCTGCTGGGGGAACTGGCACGTGATGTCACCCTGAGCATGACATCACCCTTCTCGGGCGCACGCCGCCGGGCGGAATCGCTCATCAACCGTGGCCGCCACCGATTTTTTTTCTAAATGGGTATTGGGATGTCGGTCGGTCTACCGCCGCCACCCCCCCCCCCCCCATCATCTCCCCCCATTGAGGGTGTTTAATATTTCATTCGTTACTATGTAGGTCGTGGATAAAACCATGTTTTTTTTACAATGGTTGAGAATGCTTACATTTGAGATTGACTGAAAATTGCTGTTGAATGAGATGTCTATTATGCAGTGAGTTAGCAAGTTATCTTATGTTTGACACTTGGAAAGTATTTGACTGATCTACTTTTTTTCCAAAAGCATAAAATGCAATTAGCCTCCAAATGGATTGTCTTACATCATGGATAATGAAATAAATATTTCTTTGCTTATTTTTGTTAATTTACTTAGGTGAATAGGTTAACTACTACCCTACAAGTGTACATGCATAACCTTTATAACAAGGGTACGAAAGGTTAACTTTATTTACAACGTATTGGTAGGGCAGTCTATACGATTGTGCAATCAGACTTGTGCACAACGTCACCATGTCAAAATAAAAGCCCCATGCATTCTCTCTGGCTCAGCAGAACCACCCTTGAATGAACTCATCAATAACCGGAGGCAACAACGTGCTTTAAAATGGCATGTTTTGCCAAATGAGTCATCGACATGACATCCTCGGTATAAGGTGAACAGAACAGAGCATAACACGTCAGCACCACTTAAATATGGTTTCTAATGAGAAAATAACTACAATAAAAACATAACATTTTCAGTACTGAGCCATCTAGATCACCAATAGCGCTTGTGTTCTCTAACATTACGAGGGAAATGAATATTGCATACAGATGATGTGGACTCTGATCGATTGGACATGATGTCATCTTATTTGATAAGCAATCCGGATGCACAACGGAATACGTCTTCCTATGGAGTCTCCCCAGTGCACGGGGGAAGGAATTTTCTTTGATAGCCAAGGAACAACTTGAGGCAGGAGGTAACGGGCACTGCCATACTGATGACCTCTAACAATGGTAAAACGTGAATATCCACAGCATGTTTCTCCGGGTACTGCTCTTTCCTCACAAACACAAACAATCCTTGCCAAGCATCTCCACTCAGGACTCTCCGGAAAAATAGTCTTATGACTCATTGATGATTCTTCATACATAATTTACACAGTAACAAACTACTGCAGCAAAGTAAAAAAAACACACATTCAGGGCCCAATCCACATGTTGCTTTCAATGTTTTTTTCCTGACTAAAAGGTCCCAATGTCTCCATTACCAATCATGTGGAAAATTACCAAGGCAGTGTGATTCAGCTGTTTAGTCGAGTTGTGAATCTGGCCCTAAGCTGTCTTTTCTAAGACCCAAGCTGTTATACACCGACAAGCCAACAGAGGGCATGCAGGGTGCCCTGTCAGCTGCTGTCACATTCACTGGAGCCAACATCTTGGTGTGCATTAAATTAGAAAAGAAACATGACCTCCATCCATTTGTGAATCCACTACTGGATGAAAGCCTCC